TATTATTATTATTAAAAGCACATCTATATATATACTAACCAAAAATCAACTATTACTAGGTTCATTTTTGAATCCTTTTTTGAAAACTATTTTATATCAAAGTAATATAATATTCACAATAAATTTATAATTTAATCAATAATGGCAATCTTGATACATTTCAAAAATACGTGATCCCATATTCACATTATTCTAAATTCAAAGAATAATTTATTATAATTAGAGAAAATGTCAATAAAAATGTAATATAGCCAGGTAGAATATGATTTCAAAGTACCAAAGTGAAATTTTGTCTACATTATTCTTTTTTTACAATATTGCTCGAGCCTTGAAAATGCCTTTTTGAAAATAACCTATATATCTCTTTCCATAAAAAAACTTATGAATTCCAAACCCATTATTTTTGTTTCTTTTATATTCCCCTATATATTCCTCTTTATTTAATTTCCATATAAAATGACCAATACCATTCAATTTTCCATTTTTCCATTCTCCCACAGATTTGTTACCATTTACAAAAGTCATTTAGCCAAATCCATTAAAACTACCACCAAAGAATTCACCAAAATATATGTAGACCCAACTTTCCAAATATATTTTCTAATGCCACTTTTTTATCCTTTATCATCAATTAGTCCTGTAAATGTTGCCCCATTTAGATAATTTTGGAAAGTTTGTATTTTCAAATCATAAGATCGTGATAAGAAGGGAAATGCCTTCTCTGCTAGCTCTCCTAAAAAAATATACCTTGCTAGATTAGAAAATATGAAAATTACTTGTACAATCTTACTAATTTAAGCACCTTAACCAATGAAATTGATCCATTAAAAATTCACCTTAGTAATACCTTAAGTTATTTTTTACAAACTATTTACCAAAGCCACATTTCATATTCAATTTCACATCTCCAAAATATTACACATTTTCCTTTTCAATCTTACTAGACTAAAGTGAACTTTATCTATTAACTTTAGTTTTTCTTTAAATTCATTATTTCTGTAATTGTGTAATTGGAGGCTATTCTTAAATAATTTCTTACATATTCATCATAAATCAATTTGATATTATGATCTGATTTATCTTATGACTTTGTTATCAGTGATCCATTCTATTAAGTTTAAGTTGGAGAATCTTGTCCAGAGTTTGTTACAGGACATATTTTGCGACTTGATGGCAATTTGTGTTTTTAGGACATAAACTTGATTAAATATTATTCATTTAAGTATTCAATTTAGATCATATATATATATTGGTTTTTTTAGATTAGGTTGGAGACTCTCTTTTTTAATCAGGTTTTTGATCTTGATTAGGTTTCAAAAATAATTTCCTGAATTTTCTATTCGAAATTACCTAGATTGAAAGGAATTGGTGATATTCCATAGCGAATATAGGAAGTTATAGTTTTATAAGAATTTAATTGAATTGTTAATATTTCAGATAATGTAGCATTACATCTTTCTCTTAAAATTCAATAACTTTGCATAAATTTAGATATTAAAACAGCTATCAATTATCTGAAAATTCTTAATTAATGTTCGTTCATACTTTTAATTTTTTTATGAAATTGAAATTTAATTTGACTATTAAAAACCCTATTCATTCTCAAATATCTTTTCGTTAATCAATATCTAATTTGATACTAGGTACTTCTTGTTTGATAATATTATCCTCAAAAATTTTTAATGCATTTTAGATGTATGATAAAAATAATAGTAAAAGCGTTGCTTGAAATAAAATTAAAGCTACTGAAATAATTAATTTGAAATTTGATTTTGATATAAATTTCTCAAATATACATAAAGATTCTACAAAAGTGATTACCTGATTGCAATCTTTACTATCAAATAATTCATTGGCTAAAGTTGTAATTCAGAAAAAGAGAATAAATGAAGTCCAAGAATTTTTAATTAATATTTGAATATGCTTACAAAATTTCATTGATCTGGTCTGGATGCCAAAGTCTCACGCAATAACTCATAATAACTACAAAAGTATTGAAAGCCTAATTCTCAATTTGATTCTCATTTTTATTAAATTTACTTTTATGAGTTCATCCCAAATATCCTGTTGAAATATTATTTGGAATTTTTCATTAAAAAAATAGAATTTTAGAAATTTATAATCTTTTAAATAATCAAAAAATGTAATATAGAGAGTGATTAGAATTCTTCAGTCGCCTAATTCCTAAAAATTTACATGTTTTTTTATAGCTTTTATATCTTCAGTTATCAATTGCTTAGAGAGCAGTCAAAATAATAAATTATTGAAACTCAGGATTCCAAATAATGTTGGTTAATTACGAGATGACTTTTGAATATAATTTTTGTTAAATTGTAGCATGACTTCAGCTTCCATTCTCTTTCGATTAATCAATAATTACTAAAATAGATTCCTTTTCTGACACATTTTGAATATTAATTCCCTATCACAATTAATGTTATTTAGATTCGTTATGATAGTTAAAAAAAATGATAATAATTTAGAAGAAATTATATTTATAATTTTCTTAATGCTAAGGCTAAAATTTCCAACTAAATTGTTTTGAACGAGATTTAGTAATCGTTAAAACTGCTAAGATTAATAGGTAGAGTTTTAAAATTACATTGAGGGCTTCATCTATCTTCATAATAGAACTATGAAATCTAAAAGTAAATAGATATCAAAAAAGATTCAAGGTAAATTTCAACCAATTTATTCAAAAGATATTCATCATAACCTTCATATCTGATTTGGAGAAGTTAAAAATATATAGAATGATGCTTCATGTATTTGTTGGCCTTTTATGGAACAAGAGTAAATGAAATTACTAAATCTACCTTGAAATAATTGATAGAAAAGTGCAAAACTGATAAATGCTTGACAATTTCGAGAAATATATTTGCTTATATAATAAAAGTCATCCTATTCAAAGATTAATTTATAAGTTAATAAATGGAAGTAGAAAAAATGATGAAGAACTTATTTTAGGTAGAAAATCCTCAAGAGAAATTAGGAATTATTTACAATCTATTAGCTTAAAACTTAAAGTGTAAATTCTTAGAACTAGCTTCACTTCAAGCTTTTCATCTGCCAATAAAAACTGAAGAAAAGAACCCTAAGGAATTATTGAATAAAAAGAAGTTACCACTTTTAGCTTCATTGGGAGTTCAATATCAAAACATAATTCAAACTAGAATTATCAAGAAATATTGAATTTTACTAAGGATGAAAAATATATTTTTTAAATCTGAATGGCAAATAGCTTCCAAGTTTTGAAAGAGAGGCGCATTTATTATAAAACGAAATTTAAAACTTAGATTGAATCTAATCTAAAATAAGAAAAAATAAGATGTGAAAAATTATTCAATTTTAAATTGAAACTATAGTAATGCGTACTTGTAGTTTGGTAGTTTTTCTTTTTTGTTAAGTTAAGTCGAATTTCTTTTAAGAATTGTGAGAAGTAGAACGAAACTTTTAGCAACTCTTGTAATTTGTATTTGTAATAAAATGCTAAACCCTCAATTTTTTACACTCACTGTTTGGCTTGCTGATGCCAAAAAAGGATATAATAATAATACTTCCACTTCTGTTTCTGCTTAAGGTTTGTGTTATGAAAAGGCTTTTACAGATAGTATAGCAATGATTCAAACTATTACTCTTATCACAAATGTTTAATGTACAAATAACAGTGCTACGTTCTTTTGCTTGATGTAGTAAAGCTAGATTTCAGACACAACTAATGCTAGTTATCTGATGCATTTAGTGGCTGTTCAGCATGTGTTTTATTCAACTTGGAGTATGAATAGTATGTTCCACTTTGTCGAGCGAATTTTTTAATCTTATTATTGTGGGTGCTATAAAGTTTAAAGAGGCTGCAATTGTATCTCCACTGATTTTTAGCCCCTCTAATTTTAATTTGAGGCTAATTGTATCAACCTCAATATAGTTTTGCTGGAGATGGCAATTTTAAAGAGGCAACCTTGCATAGCATTAAAGTCTTATCACAAGAGTTTACCTTTATTTTGTAATAATTTTCTCATGTTTGCAGTTTTCAATTAATGTATGCCTGTCCATATCCCCTTATTTTAAGTGTTTCATTCATGTACGTATAAAAATATTGCTGCAGATTTCTTCAACACTGTCATAATGTTTTATGAGAGACGTGAATATGTAATACTGTATTTATGTCATTCACGATTGACTTCATCTTCTGAATGTGACATAGGCCTCAAGAAAATGTGGATGCTTTCTATAAAGATAAGAATATATAAAAAAAAAATTCAACTCATTATTTAGGATTGGTTTTAATGAATGAATTAGGAGGAAGAAAGAAATTTTTGAATGCAAGTGAAGACTAGAAATACAGCTCTTAGTTAAGAGGCATTTTCTAGACGTTAGATATAGATGAATAAAAGTAGATGCTGGTTTAACTTATATAGGAGGAGAGAATATCGGACTAAGAATCAGCTAAGAGTAAGAGTTAATGAGAAAACTTAAGAAAGATCCATAACTATCAACTACCATTTGGCATATCAGAGCAGTTGTAGCTTAGAAACCACAAGTTGAGAAAAATCGAGGATTTTCTGAATGCGACTCAATTAGTTGTTGGAAGAAGGGACAATTATATCTTGCCGAAAATATGGATTGGGATACTATCTAAAGATGTTTTATGAAATTGTTTGGGAATATATGAAGTTAACTTTAGCTTAGAAAAAATTAACTCGAATCAAAGACAGATTAAATGAGACCTTGAATTGATTGAATTAAAAGATGATAACTTTGAGAATATAAAAGGACTAGTAAATGCATGTGCAAAAATTATTGAAGCTTTATTTGTAAGATCAGATATTTATATTATTTTTAAACCCAAATTATAATAAGGTTAAGATGTTATTTATTAGAACAATGACGAAAGCTGTGGAATCAATTTTATAAAGTATTAAATGACCTCGATGAATAATTCAAGAAGATTATTGAGTCCTACAACCAGATCATATAATAGATAGGTATGGCAAGCTTATCCTTTGACGAAAGTATAATTTGCACTTTATGTATTAGACTCTTCAACCGCACTGAGAAATTCAAAAACTCCTGCCATACAAGTATGAACCTTGCAAGTGTATGAATCGAATCTATGGTAATTGCATATTAAAACCACCCAAATTTAAAGCAAGATTAACAATCTTAAGCTTTTTATGAAAGTTATCAAGTCATCTATCAATATATCAACAAAACAACCATATAAGAGAGTAATCACAAAAGTAATCAAAAATGTAATCACAAAAGTAACCAATCAATTCTCTAATATATTTAATAAGATAATAAAATGAATTGCAGTTGAAACATATTATTCACATATATTACTTCATTTAATCTGGCAAAATTGATGATTAAGGCTAATTAATTATCCATCAACTGTCAGAACAATACTAAATAGCATTCCTATTTCGATTGATTTCTGGATATATGGGTTTAGAAATTAAGTATTTCGAAAATATAAACCAATTATCAAGAACAATATCCTCCAATAGGTTTAAAGAAATTATTCAAGAAAGAATTAACTGTAGATGCAAGACAAAAATCTATTTGGATAATATCTCTAATATAAGAGAATCATTTCTTTAATGAGCTCAGTAATACTCATTTCAAATGTTGTCTCTAATATTTTTTTCCTAATAATCCCTGTTTGTTAGAGAGTTTTAATTTGCTTATTAATTAAATCACCCTGTTTAGCTATGTCTAGTTTTAGACCATCATATTGATTAGTTTAGTTCTGTTAAAATTCTGTCAAACTAATATAAAGCGGCTCTAATTATTAATGTAATGATTTAACAAATTAGTATTATGTAGGTAAGTTCGATTAAGATAATTTGAGTTATTTAGTCCAAGATATTTTTGCTATTTAGCGAAGGGTTCCTATTGATAATATAATCCTCTAATAACAAAACACAAGTTAAGTCAGTTGATAAACACATAAAATATTGGAGTAAAGTTAGATTAAATTTGGAAGGAATATCAGATAAAAGGATTACCAATCCAGATGAATCATAGTAATGACTAAGCTGTCATCCTACTAAATTAATTTTAAAATAAATAATTAAAGTTTGATAAAACAATATTAGAAACCTGTTTCAAAGAATGGGATATTTTTTTATTACTTAAAGATTTTCTTACGAATGAAAAACATCAAAATAGCTCTTTTACTTTTGGGTTTTATTTAACAAGCAACTTAGAAATTCAAAGTTAACAACTCTAAGAAAATGAAATTATATTGGCAATGAAAAATATAACAAGGCATTTTGGTTTTTTGATTTCAAATAAGATGCTAACTTTTAATTCAAATAAATACTGAGAAATTGGGAGAAGCAATAAAACTTTGTAGAAACTTTACATAAGATATGCAATTTGATGAAAACATATAAGTAAAAATTATTTCACAATAAATACAAAAAATTATTCAAAATTTAGAAGTTTGTCTTGAAAACATATAGATTATTCTTAAAATAATGAGACTTAATTAAAGCAAAAAAACAAAAAATAGGGGGCAAGGTAACAATTTTGAAAAACTTAATAACTTGTTGGAACTATAGCAGATATTATAATATATATCATCTAGGATTAAGAGTAAGAGAATGGATAGCAAACACAAACAATTGAAGTCTCATTCCTTTATTTACTACAACATAGAAACAAGATTAGGGGAATAGTTTCAAAATTGGAAATAACATATCTTTAATAAGACTTATTGAAATATTTTTAGAACTTAGTTGATAATCTACATTTAAATTATGAAAGCATTTGTAATGAATTTTAAATCCAATTTTCATAGTTTAATGAATACCACCAGGAAATTATGATCATAATGTCTAAAATTGATACAGTCCTTTCAAGGGTTGATCTGAAAAAAATTAAATAAGATTTGCAGTTGCTAAAATTTCTAGAAATCTTTTGGCATAACAATTTGAAGCTAAAATTAAAATTGGTTGCTTCAAAGACGTCTTTTTCATTTATATTAGAAAAAGCCAATCCAACAGAATTTGTCCGAAGTATTAAATCTTGATGAGTTTCTTTTAAAAGTAATTGAAGAGTGGGGATCAATAGAATAATTCGGTTTATTAGATAATTTGGTTCAAAGACTTTACAAATAATGAATAATGGAAAATTAAATAAGGTCTAGTTGTTACTATAATTTAGATTTCATCCAATTGTTTTTCAAATAATCTTGTTTCTTTTTGTAAGTAAGTTCTAATCTAATTGTGGGTTCAAGAAAAAGATCTAAAAATTAGAAACCTTTTAAAAAATGAAAAATGGATAAGTATGTAAATGCAAATTTTGTAGAAGGATTGGTAGACTTAACAAGATAGAATTGTGGAGAGAATGTAGGAAATGTTGAGCAGAATTGATGAATTATAAGAATAAATTTCTCACGAGGCTAATCTCAACAAGCGAGATCTAAACCTTAAAGAACTTGACGAAACAACAGAGCAATTATATTAATAAATTGAAAATATCAGTGAAATGGGGTAATAATTGAGACTGCTAACTGATTTTGTTAATCGTATCAGAAAGGCTTGTCCAGAGCGGAGGGGAAAATCAATCAAATGAAGGAATAACTCAAAATCATGAGTAACGATATAAAATTTTTGAATCTGTTGAATAAATATTTGAAATTAGAAAATGGAAGGTATTGAAAGAAGCGGCACTTAAGAATGCTAAATCCATTTATATACCATTAATAACCAAAGAGAGAGAAAAAGATGAAAAGTAAGACAATACATTAAGTATTTTAATAAATTTAGAACAAATTAATGATACTCAAGGAGAATTGAATCAGTTTTTATTAGAAGGGAAAGAAACAATGTTATTAATTCATGGGGTAGCTGGATCTGGCTAAGAAAATAGAAGAATTTATTTGGAAATTACATAATAAAAATATAAAAATTAGAAATCAAATTCTCATACCTGTTTATATCTACTAACCCTCTTTAAAAATTCCTGTATTTTAAGCGTAGAGGAAACACTTCATCAAGATGAATACAACTTTGACTAACTTTAATTAAAAGAGTGCAAAGAGATTTTATAGAAGTAAGAATTCAAATTGTTATTGTTAATGGATAAGCTATGATGAAATGAAACTAGAGAATATTTAGAAAAATTTATATATGATTAAAAAAGTCAAATAGTATTGGTCACTTGTAACTTTTACCACAAGAAGTGAAATTTTTACGAGCAGTAATTATTCCTTATGGTTTGCACCAGAAAAGAAAGAAAATTTAAAGGAAATTTAGCTGTAAAAATTTAATCTAAAATAAATAGAGGAATACTTAAAAAAATTTACAATTTAGAGCATTAAAATGTTGATTTTCGAAATATATGAATGGTAAACATAAATGTCAAATCAAGGAGTATTGGATATCAATATTTTTGAAAAAGGTTGGGAACAATTATTTGTATAATGTTTGATTTTAACAAAGTTTAATGGTGAAACACTTTTGAATTAAAAATAAATAGAGAATATCTTATCATTTTTGAAGAATAATGATTTTTTTACTTTTAAAAGTAATGATGCTTTAAGAAGTCTAATGGTCAAATTCTCAAAACTGTGGAGTCTTGAAAAGTATGAAAAGATGATGAAGCAAATAAATTTATATGGTATAATAGAAACTCCATATATGATGGAAATAATAGTTTAAGTGTTGCCTAAAATGAAGGTGAAAGCCTTTGGCATAATTAATTCGAGAGTAAATTTTTGAAAATTTTCCCAATTATGCTTCTTTAGTTTTATAAAATTAACTATCTTAATCAAATGTATAATTTTCAATAGAAAAACTATTTATAACAAAATAATAATGAAAAAGAATAATTGGATAATAATGAAAATGAATAACAGGAAGTATAATAGGATAAAAATGAATAAGTATAATTGGATAATAATGAATAGCAATAATAATAAGATAAGAATGAAAAAAAATTACAAGGTAATAATGATAACAAATAACAGGAGAACAATGAAAAATGAAAAACAGCACATTAATGAAAAACTATAACAGAATAATATTGAAAAACAATAACAGGATAATAATGAAAAACAAATACAGGTTACTAAAATAGATGTGGATAACTTAGATAAAATTAATTACTTTGAAATTGCTCGTACAGTTTGGAATAAAATGGAAGAGTAGTCAATTGCTCTCCAATTTATCACATCTTAAGAATTAAATGATCCTGCACAATCTGAACAAAATCTTACAAGTTATGACTTTTATGATGAATTTATTAATTAGTATCATTATCAACAAATAGAAAAGTAGAGAAATCTTGGAAAATAAATATATAGAAATCGGTTTTTACATGACTTATAAAAGTATTCAATCAATCTTGCAAAAGTAATGAGCACAAAATAAATGACATAAATTTAATATTAATAATAAGGATTTCTATATTAGGAAGAAAAAGAAGAGGAGAAGTGGTAAAATGAATTTTTTAATGATGATGATCGTTAATTTGGTTCCAATAAAAAGGATTTAAGGAGTGTTCACTTATCCAATAAAAGGTAGGAACTTTTCATTTGTCCATAAGTCTATCTAAGAGTTCTTTATAACGACTGATTTATTTGGCATATTAGTGTTATTTAAAATTTTTTAGGGGCTGATATTCAATTTGATATTAAAATAGCTATCTAAAGGAAACAATGTTTAGAATATCTATAAAATCAAATAAATTAATAAAATCTAACTATAGGTGAAGTTCCAATTAGTAATGAAAAAAAATATTGAATAACGAGGTCAAATTTTGAAGTGAGAGATGTGAAATTTTATTTAAATTCACAAAAATTAAATAAGAAATTATTTTGTTAGAACTTTTAAGAGAAAATATAGTCTTTATGGATATAAATCAATTTTACTTAATTTTAAAAATTTATTGTTTAGTAGGGTTAAATTCGTAATTATAGGGAAGAACAATTTTGTTATTTCTTAATATTCTCAATTATGTTTATGAAATCCAATCTTGGGTAATTTTGTAATGTTATAACAATTAATAAAATTGAATTAGTTGACTGATATTATCGTTGTGTAGATATTAATTAATTTCTAAAAAAAATCAGTTTGAGGTAAAATTACATAGTTCTTATCTTAATGATTAATAGCTGATCCTTATATGCTAAATTATTATTGGAAGTAGCTACTTTGAATGTAATTCATATAGAACTTAATTAAGAATATTTTTAGANATAAAATGGAAGAGTAGTCAATTGCTTTCCAATTTATCACATCTTAAGAATTAAATGATCCTGCACTATCTGAACAAAATCTTACAAGTTATGACTTTTATGATGAATTTATTAATTAGTATCATTATCAACAAATAGAAAAGTAGAGAAATCTTGGAAAATAAATATATAGAAATCGGTTTTTACATGACTTATAAAAGTATTCAATCAATCTTGCAAAAGTAATGAGCACAAAATAAATGACATAAATTTAATATTAATAATAAGGATTTCTATATTAGGAAGAAAAAGAAGAGGAGAAGTGGTAAAATGAATTTTTTAATGATGATGATCGTTAATTTGGTTCCAATAAAAAGGATTTAAGGAGTGTTCACTTATCCAATAAAAGGTAGGAACTTTTCATTTGTCCATAAGTCTATCTAAGAGTTCTTTATAACGACTGATTTATTTGGCATAATAGTGTTATTTAAAATTTTTTAGGGGCTGATATTCAATTTGATATTAAAATGGCTATCTAAAGGAAACAATGTTTAGAATAACTATAAAATCAAATAAATTAATAAAATCTAACTATAGGTGAAGTTCCAATTAGTAATGAAAAAAATATTGAATAACGAGGTCAAATTTTGAAGTGAGAGATGTGAAATTTTGTTTTAAATTCACAAAAATTAAATAAGAAATTATTTTGTTAGAACTTTTAAGAGAAAATATAATCTTTATGGAATATAAATCAATTTTACTTAATTTTAAAAATTTATTGTTTAGTAGGGTTAAATTCGTAGTTATAGGGAAGAACAATTTTGTTATTTCTTAATATTCTCAATTATGTTTATGAAATCCAATCTTGGGTAATTTTGTAATGTTATAACAATTAATAAAATTGAATTAGTTGACTGATATTATCGTTGTGTAGAATGGATATAATTAAGATCTCTAAATCCTATTAGGGGTTGGAATATTTATTGATGATTAATGTATCTTTTCAGTCCTTTATTCTATCTAATACTTTTAATATTAATTGAAAATAATAAATAGCAGGTTATGAAAATATTACCAAGATTAGAGTAGAGTAATTTAAAAATAATTCAATCTCAATTAAAACATTGTTATTATTTAAGATTATTAGTAAAATTAATTGTATTTTTTAAATGTAACTTTTTTCTTATCTTTGTTTAAATTGTATATAAATATTAATTTATAGCAGTTGATTGTGACATCTCAAGAATACTTTCATAATAGTAAATTAAAATGGTGTATTCGTTGGCTAGAAACGGAATACTTTTAGGAAACATATAATTATCAATCTTAAGAAATGAAGATCAAGAATTGAAAACAAAATCTAAAGCTTTTAGAAAATGACAAAATGGCAATTGTAATTTTTTTAATGAATAATCAAATTCACTTATGTTTTAAGTCCTCTAAAAAGCAACTTCCTTTTGTTTTGAACAATGGTTTTAAATCTATCCCTTAATAATTCATGAATTGGCCTTATAAGATAAGTGTTCCTGATGCTTCTAACCAAGGATTCTAACATATTCTAAGTATTGTACGATCTGTATTAACTAATTAATAATAAATATTGCATACCATTTGGCAATAAGGAGCTATTCTGAAGAGGTAAGTTAAACTAGGCAAGCAAATCTTTATATCTACTATCTGATTTAAGTATTTCCTTTGATGTTTTTTACATCCCATAAACGGATAGACCTATTATCACTACCAGATGCTAATATAGTACCATCAGGAGAGTAACAAATTGAATTAACCCCATTTGAATGACCATCTAATTTGGCTTTTTATAATCCTGTCTTAACATCCCATAAACGGATAGACTTATCATCACTGCCAGATGCTAATGTCGTACCATCAGGAAAGTAACAAATTGAATAAACCCCATTTGAATGACCATCTAATTTTGCTTTTTATTATCCTGTCTTAACATCCCATAAATGGATAGAGTTATCCATTACTAAAATAGATGTGGATAACTTAGATAAAATTAATTACTTTGAAATTGCTCGTACAGTTTGGAATAAAATGGAAGAGTAGTCAATTGCTTTCCAATTTATCACATCTTAAGAATTAAATGATCCTGCACTATCTGAACAAAATCTTACAAGTTATGACTTTTATGATGAATTTATTAATTAGTATCATTATCAACAAATAGAAAAGTAGAGAAATCTTGGAAAATAAATATATAGAAATCGGTTTTTACATGACTTATAAAAGTATTCAATCAATCTTGCAAAAGTAATGAGCACAAAATAAATGACATAAATTTAATATTAATAATAAGGATTTCTATATTAGGAAGAAAAAGAAGAGGAGAAGTGGTAAAATGAATTTTTTAATGATGATGATCGTTAATTTGGTTCCAATAAAAAGGATTTAAGGAGTGTTCACTTATCCAATAAAAGGTAGGAACTTTTCATTTGTCCATAAGTCTATCTAAGAGTTCTTTATAACGACTGATTTATTTGGCATA